AGCAAAAAGTCTAGGGAAAACATGCCAAGTCATTTGATAATATATAAATAAATAAAAACCCCCCAAAAAGCTAACATGTCTTTAAAGTATCCTTTCTAAAACAGAACTGAAATGAGAAAAACTCCCTGTAAAAAAATATCCCAAAAGGCTCAGCCCTGAAAAAAAAACCTGAAAACCAACAAGTAGTAGTAGTCAAAAAAATCCCCAAATAACAGAGGGCAGAAACTGTTCACCTTTTCCCTTTTTTTATTTTATTTTTTATATTTATTTAAATTTTTAATTTTTTTTATTCATTTAAATGTTCTTCATTGACTAGAGAACATATTTTTGTGACTAGAAATGATTTTTTAAAAGGGCAAAACTTTTGGGGAGCTTTACAAACTAGGAAGAAAGTATTAGAAATTTTAAAAAAATCCAACAAACTGACCCAAAACTGTTACACAAACACCCAAATCTGCAAAAAAAAAAAAAACCCAAAACTTGTGGCAGTATTATTATTTTTTTATTTTCCTATGAAATACTGATGGTTTGCTGCACTCTAGTGGTGTTCAATAAGTCTTGTACAAGGTAAGTTCTGCTCAAAAAAAAGCTGCGAGGTTATTTCTGTCTGACCTCACAAAAGTTCAGGCATTTCTTTTAAGCTGTATATTTAAAATATTTCCTTATAACACTGGAGATAGAAATAGAAATAGGAATTTTCAGATACTCCTTGTGTTAATCTCAGCCTGTTTGGGGTGGCTGGGTGAGGAGGTGTTTTTGTTTTGGTTCAGGATACATTTGGAGAAAATATTTGAGTATTTTTATTTTAGAAAGTTAATTTAAGTGGTTTGTTTTTTTTTTAATTGGTTTGGGAAAAGATTTATTTGAAGAAAAGTGGGAAAATTGTTTATTTAACAAGTATTTAGAAATATTTAAAGTAAATAATATTAAACAATTAGATTTTTTGTTGTTTGAAGATAAGGTAAATTTAGAAGAGTTCTTTTTGTGGGATATGTAGGTCAGTTGAATTTTTTATTAGTTTTGGTGTTGGAAAGCACTGAGGCTTAGGCTCCAGTGGGTTATAGGTGTGAATTTTTTAGTGGTTTTTAGAGTAGGTTTCAATAGATTTAAGAAAAAAAATATACTCTGGGGAATTTCTTTGTTTCAGTTATTTAAAAGCTATTTAAAAGCTAATTAAAAGCTAATTAAAAGTAGAGTTTTGGTTTGTTGTTTGTTAGTGCTGTATGCAGGGTATGTATTTTTTAAAAGTTTATGGTATTTAAGAAAGTTTGTGAGGTTTATTTTTTATTAGTTGGTGGAGATGTTGTGATTTTGTTGAGGATATTGGTGGGGGTTTTTTGTTTATTTTGTTATTTTTAGGAATTGGATTTTTTGAGTAGGTTTTTTAATTTTGGGGTTGTTGATTTTTTGATGGTGAAATTGAGTTTTAGGAGAATTTGGATGATTTTTAAAGATTTTTGTTACTTTTTTATATAATGATGCTTATGTATTGGAGATGTTCTGGAGTTCTACTTTTTTTTAGTGTAGTTTGAATTAGTTTTTATGGTAGAGGGTGGGATTGTGTTTTTATTTTGGGGATAATTAGTTTTAGCTGTATTGCACTCCCCTCCACATGAAGGGAATGGAGAAATATCTATTGGTGATGTTAATAGTGGTGTATTATTTATTGTTTTGGATTTTAGCTTGTATTGGAGTTTTAGTATGTTTGGTATGGTAGTATTTAATGGTGGAGTTATTTAAGGTATGATAATTTATATTAATTTTTATTTATTTTTATTTTTTTTTAATTTCTGTATAGGTTAAATGTGATTATTGAAGGGTGAATGGGTTTTATTGATTATTTTTTTGATTTTTTTTAATTTTTAGACTGTTTTATAGACAGGAATTACAGTATTTCGAGTTGTTTTGTATTGTTGAAGAGATAATTAGTATTTGTTGTTTTCTCCCCTTCAAAAGTTTTATTGTAGGTGGGTTTTTTGGTAGTTTAGGTAAGGTGTTTAATTGCTAGCTGTTTTTTGTTTTTCTGGTTGCTATTTTAAATGTTTGAGGGTTTTTTGGTTTTTGAAATATGTTTGTTTTGGAGGAAGTTTATGTTTAAAATATATGAACTGTTTGGGTTAGTTATAATAGGGTGGGTTTGGTTTTTTTCTTAAGTTAGGTTTATATTAGTTTTTAATCAAGTAAAATCTTGTGGGTTTTTTATGTTAATAATAAAAATACAATTTATTTTTATATGTTTTAATGGGATTAATGTGTGTTGTGTATTAGTGTTGATTAAGGTTTGACACTTTTGTGGTTTTGATGTGCTAATGAATTTATACAGTTAAAAAGACATGGATTTTTTTTTTATTTTTTTATTTGGTTAGAGGTAGGGTTTTTTAAAGTTTGGTTACTTTCTGTGGGGGTCTATGTTTTGGAGTTCTTTTTAAGGGGATTGGATATGTTATTTTATATTTGGCAGTTTGGTTATGGCTTACTGGATTTGGTGGGGTTTTTTTGGAAGAACTTCTTTGAGTTTTGCTGCTTTTTAATATAAGTGCCCATTGTGTTAGAGTAGTAGTAGATTTTCCATCCTCTTTATGTTGTTTTTATAATTACATGGGAAGAATTACAGCTTAGTTTGTGTGGTGTATTTTTATTTTTATCTGGGGGATGTTTGTCCTTGGCATTAGACTGCATTTAGATTTTTGGAGAAAAGTGTAAAAACCTGTTTATTTAACAAGTATTTACAAGCTTAAAAACTGAATAATAATGAAAAATTCTTGTTGTTTGAAGAGATGGTAAATTCAGAAAAGTTCTTGTTGTGGGGTGCTCAGTCTCTTATCGGTCCCTCCTGTGTGGGAAGTGCCGAGGCCCAGGCCCCAGTGAGTTCTCGGTGGGTGTTTGGCTTTTCAGTTCAGAGCAGGTTTGAACAGATTTAAGAAAAAACAACCAAAACACACTCTGGGTTGGTTTTTTGTTTGTTTTAGCTAGTTAAAAACTAGTTAAATTAAAAATAAATGAGAGCTCTGTATTGCTGTGTGTGCTGCAGCCAATGCAGTCTGGAGAAACACGCAGGGAAGGGAGTGCTACTTGTGAAAACAAAATAGTGCTTTTTTATTTCCCATCTTTGCTCTTGGAACTCGTCATAAAGGTGCAAAACTTCATATGTGGCATGAACAGAACAGACAACTGGGGATAAAAGCGTTATAAAGTCACCTCAGGACAGGAGGTCCCGGATTCACTAAAAAGCCACAGCTAGAGAAAGCTGTGAGGGGATCCTGAAGGCCCTGCATCCAGGTTAGAGGATTTAGTCTAAAATTCCGACCCCAGCTCTCCCTGCACACACACACACACACACACACTGCTGCAGTTCTCTGTCTCCCCATCACTTTCCCATATTCACATTCCCTCTGCCTGGAAGCCCAAAACGTGGCGAGTTCACTTTGGAATCCAAAGAGTTTCAGGTGAAGAGTTGTTATTCGTGTGAGCAACAAAATACCCACAATGCAGGGAACTGAGACTTGAAGGGAATCTCTTTCTGCTTCCCCCGTACCCCGTGGAACATCAGCATTGAATCTTCATCACGGATAATTGCAGAATTTTGCCTTTTTAGTTTCAAAAACAATTTAGTGGGCGGCCGGGTTGTTCCCTGTACCAGGACACTTCCAGCTCTTTTAAAGGCCGGTGGCTCCCTCTGCTGGGAGAGGAAGAAGGACACGATGGGAAATGAATGCAAGGAGAGACCATGGAAGCATCACGGAACCCCAGAACCATGGGTTCTCCTCCCAACCGTGGGTGGGATCCTCCAGGATCATCCAGCCCCACTCGGAGAATGTTCAGGGCAGGCTGCTGTCCATCGGCCCCTGATTGCAGATGGATCTGGAAGCGATGGAGGTGTTCAAGGAATGCTGGTTGTTTCTCCCTATTTTGGGTAATCTGGTCAATAAAAAAACTAATTGACCTCTTCCAACAGGGAAGCACATAAGCAAGAAGTGACAAAAAAAGTCTGAGTTGCTGGGAAATGAAATCTGCAGGTATCTAACTTAAAATCCCCATGCATGGTCTCTGGTTTGACATCCATGGACTGCTCACATTACCCAGATGCATCCAGTTGTGCTGTAAATGCATTTATCTGTGGTGCAATTTCTATTTTATTTTCCTTGTAAAGAGCATCTGGGTGATAGAGGGACGTGGGGGGGAAGGACGGGAGGCTGAGGCTCCTGCACCTCCTCCCAGAGCCTGGGGCTCCATCACTCTGCCCTCCGGGTCCTGCTGTCCTTCACCAGTCTGGGGTCTGCCCTGAGCCCCAAAATTCAGGATTTTGGATCTCTGATGGAAGCCTTACACTGCTGGGATGAGCCTCCTTTCACACTCCCAGGACAGGACTGGAGTCTGCTTCACAGCCCAGGTACTGCCCGGGTGGGGCTGGTTCCAAGTGCCAGCAAGGCAGGACTCGACCTCCATTTCCGAGCCAAAGAAAATTCCTGATTTATTACAGGACCCTAAAACTGGCCAGATGAGTTTATGGGTGCCACCCCAAACACAGGCCTCAGCCTCTGTTTCCAGGACATGAAGGTGCTTGGCCCAGGCTCACCGTGGGGTGCCCCGTTCTGATCCCCAAAACCCCACAATTCGTGCTTCTTCTTTCCCAGATGGGTCTGGAGCTTCCAGCTGCTGAAAATGAGGCTGGAAACAGAGAATTTGGTCCCTAACCCCAGCCTGGACTCCCCTTCTGAGCCCCAAGCGTGATGTCAGGACAGGCTGGAGAGCCAGTGTGGTGTTGGCACATGAGATAACGAGGAAGATGGAGCCCATCCAGAATACCCCAGCACCCAAACACCCCCAAGGACCCCACTGTCCTTCCCCTCTCTGCTGCTTCCTGCCCAGCCCCAGTGCCAAGGATTGCAGAGGAGGAGCCTGAGCACTGCCAGCCTTCTCCCAAACTACATCCCTGGCCCGTGCCACGGCCTCCACGGCTGGGCATGGCAGGAGAAAGGAACCAGAGAGTAAAAGGCAACGACTCGCCAGCATCAGCATCTTTACTTCCCACTCCAGAGCAAGCCACACCAACGTTACAGACACACCCTCCAGGCACCCACCCAGCAGTAAGGCACTTCTGAGAACACCTCAAACATTTTTCCCAGCTGCAGCCGCCATCCCTGGGGTGTCCGTGCCTGCAGCCTCAGCGCAGTGTCACCAGCTCCTCAGCAGAAGTGGGGTGAATGGCAACGGTGTTGTCCAGGTCGGCCTTGGTGGCCCCCATTTTGATGGCCACAGCAAAGCCCTGCAGTATTTCATCACAGCCCAGCCCTTGCATGTGCAATCCCACCACCTTTGGAGAAGAAGTGAAAGGCCAGGTGGGACCCAGAATCCAGGCTGGACTCTTGGGATTGGGGCTGGGGGAGCCGGATCCCGGCCCAAAAACTGACCACGCATGGGTGAGAGGACAGCCAGCCGTGGTTGCCACCACCCCCCAGCAGTGCCCTCCACTCACCTTCTCCTCCTTGCCGGTGCACACCAGCTTCATCACACACTTCACCTTCCTCTGGGTGACAGCGTGGTACAAGGGAATGAAGGATGTGTTGTAGGTCTTCACGTTGTCCTTCCCATGTATGGCCACAGCCTCCTCTGCAGCAGGAGCCACGGCACAGGGGTCAGGGGGATGCACACGGGGCATTTAGAAAGAGGAGTCAAAGCCCTCTTGGCAAGGCTCACGTGCTGGAGATGGAAACCTCCCGCACATCAAAGCAGCGGCTCTGAGCCGCTGTCCCCAGCCCCTTCACCCCCTCCGTGCCCCGTCTGTCCCCACCTTCAGTGAGCCCCACGGTGCCGATGGGCGGGTGGCTGAAAACGACCGTGGGGATGTTCTCGTAGTCCAGCCGTGAGTCCTGCTTGCCCTCGAAGAGCCTGTGGGCCAGCTTCCTGCCAGCTGCGATGGCCACTGCAGGCAGGGACAGGCACCCTCAGCCACGGCACCGCGTGGCAACCGCGAGGGGCTGGGCAGGGAAGGGGGCGCGGCTGCAGTACCTGGAGTGAGGAGGGCTTTCCCACAGACATCCCCGACCGCGTAGATCCCTTTCCTGGTGGTGTTCTGGTACTCATCCACAACCACGTGGCCCTGGGGGTCCACCTGCACGCCCTGCCACAGGAAACAGAAGCCACATATGCTCCAGGAGGGATGGGATGGCCCATGGGACACCTGTGCTGGTGGCCACAGCATTCCTAGACGGGGGGCAAGCAGTGGGAACACCATCCTGTGACGGGCACTGGAGACCCAAGGGAGCCCCAAATACCCGTGGGACACCCAGAGAGACCCGTGGGCATCCTCCCACCAGCACGGAAGGGACGTGCCGCCATCTCACCACTCGGTCCAGGCACAGCCCCTCAGAGTTGGGCTGCCTCCCCACGGCCCACAGCAGGCAGTCCACGTCCCGGATCACCCCCTCGGTCGGCTTGTGGCCGGGCACCGCCGAGGTCACCGTCACATCCAGCAGCCCACACGAAGATTTAGAGACCCTCTTGACCTAAGGGGAACCAGAGCAGCAGGGGAGATGGCTTTGGCCATGCAACAAGTGATGGCAGCCGTGCTGCAGAAACAGGGCTGTCGCCAAAACCATGGCTCAGCAAGCAGCACCCAAAACGGCATTGTTCCCCCAGCCCTGCCTCTGCAGGAGGGATGGGACAAGCCGCAGGGCTGCTCTGTGCTTTCCCACCTGTGTGTGCTTCCAGACATCCACCCCGGTGTTCTCCAGCTCCTGGGTGCAGTTTGAGCTGATCAGGGAGTCAAAGGTTCGCAGGACCTGGGCAAGGATCCCCCCAGCCCTGTCAGATGAGGGTCTGCAGGCAGAGGCACCGCCTGGCAGCCCCTCCACAAGTGCTTTGGGGTGCTTCTGGTTAACAAACTTCCCTGTTTGTTTCTCCATTATTTTTTTTTCCCTTTCTTCCTCCTTTCAAGTCGTGACTTGAAATAAAGCTCTCCATGGCTCCCATGCCACCATCCACTGCATCACTATTCCCGTGCCAACTCGGTCCCTCCTTTACCAGGAGCCGACAACCAGAAATTCCCGGCGGGCTGGGATGTGGCAGCCGGGTGGGAAGCGCAGCTGGGGACAGGCGCTGGCGCTACCTGGTCGTGACGGATGAGCAGGGATGACTTGGAGCCCAGCGTGGAGAGGATCCCCGCGATCTCCACCGCGATGTAGCCAGCCCCGACAATGACGCTGCGCCTGCGGAGAATCAACAGCGCCGTGTGCAGGCACCCGGAGCTGGCGGCGGTGGCCGCAGGGGGATGAATCCCACTTTACCTGGGCAGCTCCTCCAGGTCGAAGAAGCCGTCACTGGTCATCCCCAGACTGGCGCCTGCAGAGCAGAGACCCTTTCGCACCCTTCACCTGTCTCCATTCCCTCCCAAAGCCTGCTTTGCTTGGGCAGACCCCTCTCCAGCCTGGGGAATTCCGCCAGGCTCACCGGGAACCTCGCTGTCAGAAGGGACAGCCGGGCGGCCCCCGGTGGCTATCAGGATGTGAGGAGCCGTGTACTTTTTCCCGTCCACTTCCACGGTTGGCTGGGGATCCGCGGTGAACTTGCCGTAGCCCCGGATGATGTCAATGCGAGCCTTAGGGATAACAGTGACGGGATTAACAGCGGGGTGAGGCGCGGGAGACAGCTAATGGAGCCAGCGCTTCCACAGCTGGAGGACAACCATTAAGGCTGGAAAAGTGGCCAAAAATTCATCGCCCTTGCTGCTGGGATTGCAGGATAAACGCATCCCATGCCCACCTTCTTAACGTTGCTCTCGTAGATGTCATTGAGGCGCCGCACGTACGCGTCACGCTTCTCCTTGATGGTCCTGGAACAGAGCAGGGAATACCATCACTGCCAGCAGATGAACCTCAGAGCTCAGGAAGAACCTGGCACTGGTCCTGTTGGTCAAAGGGTAGGCTCAATGATCTCAGAGATCTTTTCCAACCTTAATGATTCCGTGATTCTGTTATCTCAACTCCTCTGGCATGTGGCAGGCACGCCATAAAATCAAATGACTCCTTTGGTGGGGAAAGGGTCAAAGCAAGATTTCTGTGCCTGCCTTCCCTGCGTTTGTCTTTTCTAGAGTCTCTTCCCACAGGAGACAGCTTGGCACCCTGTTCCTCCAAAACACAGCCACAACGCTGGCCCTGTAACCAGCTCTGCACAGCCCACAGGATCCTGGAAGCAGGCAGGGACCCCTTGGAAGTGGACAATGGGCTGCTCCCCATGGGACACTCACTGGAAGATGCTGCTTTCCAGCTGGCCCTTTCCATTCTTACCTCCAGTTAAACTTGACACCCGATGTTTCAAAGCCATAATCAGCGTGATCGTGGACAAACTCCGCGTGGACAGCCGTGTTCCACATCACCTGCCCACACAAACCTCAGGTTGGCTCAGGAAGACTGCTTTCAATCCTGGGAAAACACCCGCCGGGCTTCCCCATTCCTCGCCTTTGCCTGGAGCACCCATGGGATGCAGGCGTGCCCACGGCATCCCGATGGCTCAATACCCTCCAAGGCCCTGCTTTCTCCCCACACCCTGTGCCAGCACATCCCTAGAACTTGGCAGCCGCCCACCCCAGACCCAACCCACGCCGCCGGAGCCGGTGGCAGAACAGCCTTACCTTTTTTGGCACGCACCCAACATTGACCTGGGGGGAATAAGAGCAAGTCTCAGTGCCAAGGCCCACCCAGTTTGCCAAAGGCAATGCTCCAGAGAGCATCCCACAGCAGGTACTGCATCTCAGCTCTCTGCTCAGAAAAACAAAAGCAGGATTACGGGTTCCTGGCAAAACAGGGGTGTAACCGCTTCGGGAGGCTCAAGGTCTTGTGGTTTGGCCGTTTTCCTTCACTTCCTTGAAAGAGAATATGGAAGGTGGAGCCTTTAAACACAGGGTTTTTTCCCACTGATACTCTAAAAACCAGGCAAAAGGTGTTTGCCATCTCTTGCCTACACTTCTGGGACTATGGTAATTTTTCCAGCAGAACGCATTTAGGGCATAAAACTAGAGCTTGTCCCTGGCTTCTCTGAGGAACCAGTTTGTTTATTGGCGTGACACCAGCTCACCATGCTCTTGAGCTCTGCTTTACCGCCTTGCAGTTGTGCTACGCAGACCCAGGATCCATCGGCATCCTGGCATCTGCCTGAAAACGGCTTGGAAACCAAGCCGTGGTGGAGAAGGGAGGGTTGGGATCCGTCCTGCTTCAGCCTGACAAGGCAGGTCCTTCCACAGCGCTCGGACAGCGGGAGGGCGATTCCTTCTCTCCCACCTCCCGCACCGGGACCCTCCCCCGGGGGCTCCGCCGCCATCGCCGGGTCACCGGGGGCAGCGGCCCCGCGTCGCTCGTCCCCGGTCCCGTCCCTCCCCGCCCCGGGTGCGGCTCCGCCCGCAAGTGACTCACGCAG